CGACGTTTCGATCCTTAGGATTGAGTCCTTCTCCAGCAATCTAAATAACAAACAATTCAGTGTAACAATAATTTGGTTGTAACAATAATTAGATTAGGCGTGCCGCTGTAGAAATTGTAGAATACCTACTATACAATTTCTTCGCTCATCATGCTTCCCGCGTAACAGAAGCGATTTCTGAGGAATTACTGACGACTCCAAACTCGAGATTCTCGCTTCCCTCATAACTTAAAATTCTTTTTATAATTTTTATGATCTTTCAAGCGTCTCAATGAATACGTAATATGTATATTTTTCGCTAATTAACATAAATTACATTGTTACGTGTCCTTCAATATATAATGCATGCTCTCTCGAATAAGATTGAACGATAAAGAGTTATAAAATGCCTCTGCATAATGTTAGCCAACGAAAAAAAGGAAGCTACGAATACCGTCGCTCGCGCTCGGCGAGAAGATAGGAGCTCCGAAATGTGACGAACTCTTTTCGTCTTATCTTGTCCAAAAGAGCATGATTTGCCGTTATTTCTTTCTCGTTGGCTTTCCGGCTAGCAATATGCAGCGCATTCTAAAATCTCGTGTCGTCTAATCTTGTTCGAGAGAGTGTGCCTTGCACTAAAGGACACATAGCGTCGTTAACATAAATGTCTTTCTTGAAATATTTCCAGTGTCACGTGTCGCTGTTTCGCAGCTTGGTCTTTTACGCCGAACGTCTTGTCCGACGGCATGAATAGTAGCTTCCTTTTTCTCGTTGGCCAGCATTATGCAGCATTAGCAAATTAGTCAATATCAAATTTAGCCAAAATGCATGATTTAATTGCATGATATTCGATAAAAACAGTACTGCAGCCTTATAAAAAAATTATGTTGTGTGCCTCATTCATTTTTTCTCACGATCATCGTCAGATAATCGTCTGATAATATTAAATTACGTACATTATTTATAGACGAGCGAATTAAACCGCGCTATTCGATTCATCACGTATAGTATAAAGAAAAGTCATTATTGAGATTCGATAATCTAACTATAAGAGTCTCTCAACTGGACGTTTC